TCTGTGCTGTGGAAGATACATTTGCTGCTCACTGAAGTTCTGTGAAGAGACTTTGTAGGTCTCAAATGAAAAACCGAGCAGTCTTCCAAGAGACACTGACTCAGTGAATATCTGCTCACAGGGAATTATGCCCACCTCGTATCTCCAACTACACCTCGAATCTCTCCTTCCAGCAATTCTCTTGCCATGATAAATACTTTCTACCCAAGGCTCATCCAGCTCCATCTGACATAGTTCTACCTTAAAAAACAAAAAAACCCCAAAACCGTACTACCATCTCGTCCTCCACATGCAGCCACCCACAGCCTTTTCAAAGAATCACAAGTTCAAGAGGATTCTTCATCCCTACAACAGACAGACAGACATCATCAAGGACCACTTGTTGCCTGGTCCAATCCTGTCTTGGCGACAGTAACCAAAGGACCGATGAAACAAACACTTTTCCTGCTACATTCACTGTGTATCATAGCAATAAAGGAGAGCAATAATGGTTGAGAACAACGTGCACAGAGGTTCCACACAAACCCATCAGCGTTTTGTTCAAGACACATTCTACCTCTTACAGCACACTTGTTCTCGGGAAGACACATCAACCTACTAAAAAGAGCTATTTCTTAATACCATGATCCATCCCTTCAGAAGAGCTAATGGTACCAGGAACACAGATTCTACACAGCACAGCTGATATAGTGGAAGCAGTACCTGGAAGAGGATCAAATGCCCAAACTCCGACCTAACCAACAACGTGTCAGCACCAGCCTTCTCCCTCCTTCCTTCTTCAGGAACTGGAAGGCTGAGGACCCACCCCATGTTCACACAGTGACAGCAAAGGGCACCAAATGTCAGAACTACACCAATGGAAGCCTCACCATGCTTTCAGACAGTCTCCTATGAAATACAGAGAGCACGGCAAGGCACTATCAGGAGAAAGAGTCGCGGAGAAAATTTGTACAGAGGAACTCACCGAGGAAGGGGCGGGATCCGCGGAGAGNGCCCTGGTGGAAGATGTCCCTGCCCATGGCAGAGCTGCTGGAACAAGAGGATCCTTAAGGTCCTTTGCAACACAAACCATTCCCTCATGTGGTGCTTCTGGGATTCTATGATTACAAGTACAGCTACAAGGAATGGCTAAAAGATACTCTCCCTACTGGATAATTATATATTTTGGAGTTTGCAGGATTTCCATGCACAGTGAGGATCAACTTTACTCCTTAATAAAAATACAAACCAACAAAGAAACAAACAACCCAACACAAACCAAAGTAAACAATTAATTTAAAAACAAAAAAAACCCACCAAAACCTGAAATGAACCTAGCCAAGAATGGGAAAAACTCAGAAGAGTATCAATCATGGCCTCACATTGCAGATTGGAATAAATGCAGTGTATACACAAGACAGCAGAGTGGACATTACCAATACACAGGGGCCTCACACAGGAGTCATTACACAGGCCCCAGACTGTCATTTCCTTCGATAGGAAGAGAAAGAAAAAGCCTGGAACCACAGCTGGGGTCCTCATCTAAACACCAGGACAAACAGAACTGGACACAATTCATTCATTCATTTTGAACTGAATCACACTGAACTCCAGCACCAGCCCTGTCTCTGCATACACAGATTTCTCCTCTCTGGACAAACATAATATGGAAGCAAACTCTGCATAAAGACATCATTAGATGAAAGTTGTGTGCACATTTTCTCAGAGCCCAAGCATCACAACTAAGATTATTCTGCTCTGTCATAGTACTTGAACAAGAGGGAAATGTTACAAAGGACATAAATTACTTCCAGCTCTGTCAAAGACCCACACATCCAAGTATCACCTCAAAGGCAACATCACCATTCTGCAGCATACGGACTCCCCAGAGCATGTGGGACTACCACTCTTGATGCAATGCAATATGGAACCCAAACTAGGCCATTTCAGTCCAAACCACACAACTGAAAATCATAAGACTCCTCCTGACTCATTTTCAGAANGTCGCCACCGAGATGTCGCTTTTCGTCCAGCGCCGATCTCCTGCCTCCGCATTTCTCCAGCCCATCTCTGCTTTCATCCTCCAGGGTATCACCATCGGGAGGAAGGCAGAGGCATTCCGCGGGCGGGGTTCTTTAATCGCACGAGAAACGCATTAGTTACTAATGTCACTATACCTAAATTAAAATTCATTTTTCCTTTTTCACCCTGTAACTTATTTTTAATCTTATCCTATTTCTTCGAAAGCACCTTCATGAACAGGCTGTCAGAGAGAATATGGGAAGATACCATATCCCGAAGAAACAGCGATATCAGGGTCATTAACACAAGTCTTACGAGATCAACTGCATACGTCTTGAAGTTAGGGAGCTAATTGTTACAGGATTCAATTATAAGTAGAAATAAAGATGCAGCTGAAACTCTCAAAGTAGAGTATCAGGACTTGAAATATTTGACGTCCTTTCCAAAGAGATGCCTAGTGTTTCCTTAGTTTATACAGGTTTACATTTAATCAAATCATGGCAGCTTTGGGTTTTTTTCTAAAATCAACGTGTGAAGCACTGAAGCTCGTTAGTAAACCAATCATCTAAGTATTTCGTAATGACGTTTATATGATATGTGCTCAAGAAAACAATCATGGAACCGTAGAACAAAAGTATAACACTTGAAACACTGCTGACCACTAATCAATGTGCAAATGGGCTTGTTTCGAGTGCTTAAACTCTCCTCTCGCTAATGTCCCTAATATGTGATCCCATCGTATCTCAGATGTTTAACCTAGTAAACAGAACTGCAAAAATCCGCTCTTCTCAGTATCCCTGACTTCTACTAAAACCCCCAACATTTTTGTGTACAGAGGATAGAAAAATAACAATCTCTGAAACAGAAATCTTTAAACACTCTCAGCAGTGTACGAAATAAAGATCATGAAGAGGAAAGCAGAGCGAACTGCCACCCGGACGCATGAATGGAGCAATCTAGCCGCACTACTGCATTCCCCCAAAACGGGCGAAAATCTCTGCTTTCACTCAGAGAAAAATAGTGAAATGAACTTTCTACATTCGTTTCCTTTCTAAATCTAACCGGGACAAAACAAATTTTAACGAACGGGTCCGGGTAAAGCTATACACGAGTTCTAAGTACACATTCTCGGAACAAATCTGTCAGGAAAGAAATATTTCCAAAACCAGATGTCAGCACTCTTTTTTTTTTTTTCCTCGACTCCGTCATGCAGAATCAGCCAGTCTCCTTCCACAGAATACGAACCTGGTTTCATGTAGCTAACACAATCAAATTTATAGAGCTCGAGTTTTGAAGACAAAACCTCGTCCCTGAGCCTGAACCTGTGACCAAACCAGAACCAAGGGCTTCATTCTCTGTAGGAAGGGGGAATTGCCCCTTCCTTAACTGGGTCCGTCACGGAGAAAGGACTGTGCACGTCATAAAAACGCGACTCTGGGAAAAAAGGAGAAATACTGAGAAACGGTGCACCTAGCCTAAAGGAGAGCTATCATCAAAGCCGGTCAGCTCAGGCTGTTACAGAGAAAAAATGAACAACGTCCGCTGCTACGTGGAGATACAGATGGAGAATACCCACTGACACCACGCAAAGAACACGCGGGAAACAATGATGACAATTCGGGAACTTTTAGAAACCGAAGCCCATCAGGCTTTACAGACCTGCGGTGCGTCGGGATCGGCAGGCTGCTCTCCCACGACGAGGTCACAGTTCATGCTCGGCTTGTCGCAGGACTCGCCGCCCAGAAGCTCCTCCGCCGACAGGATGGGCACCGGCG